GGCGCATAACTCGCTTTAATTTCGAGCAAGAAAAATGAAAATAAGCTAGCTTTGTCGGGAATTTTAAGGGCTTTCTAGTGATATAAAATTCTTTGTAAAAAAATTTTTTTGGCATTTTTTCAAAATTTTCGAAACTTTTCTATTTTTGGACCCAATAATTTTTCAAAACTAGCTATTCTAGCCTACTTTTCAGTTTTTTGAATCGCGAAATTTGAAAAAAAACCTTTTTTGAAATTTCAGAACTCCAGATTTTATAAATAGATTTTTCGAAAATTTTGGTTTTTCGAAAATTTCAAAATAAAATTCGAAAAATCCAAATTTTCCTGAAAACATTTTCATTCAAAAGCCCTTGAAATTCTCTACAAATCTATCTAACTTTCATTTCTCTAGCTTAAGTTTGAAGCGAGTTATGCGCCTTTAAAGTTAGCGCGCTCTAGAAGAAACGCAGACAGCGAGAGTGTTCTCGCTTCTCTGCGTCGTTTTCTCGGCCGAGAATGCGCTCCAACTTTAAAAGCGCATATCTCAAAAACTAAGCTAGCCATCAAAAAGTTGTCAACTGCACACTTGCTTAAAATTTTATGCTGAAAAACTTTGCAGTTGTCAACTTTTTGATAGCTAACTTAGTTTTTAAGATATGCGCGTTCAAACTAGCGCGCTTAAAAGCAGAGAAGAGACGCAAGGACAGACGCACAGGGTCATGTTTGAGCTCAAAATGTAGCAAATTTGATTTTCTTCTCAACCGCAAAGTTAAAAACTGCATACCTCTGCAAATCCACACTCAAAAAGATGAAATCCTCTTTGGCACCACACCATCCACTGCTTCCCATCCTGGCGTGATGCGGTTCGTATCCCAAATTCGTCGAATCCGAATTATCCGAGAATGCTCCATCTGGGACAAATCCAGACACAATTCCAACGTCTTCTGAGAGCACACAAGATGCTCCAAGTGCACATTGAAGAGTGTCACTTGGGAATGGCACGAATCCGGGTCGTTTGCATGAGAATCGAGCGATTGCGCCTTCTTCGACGGACTCTAGCTCGACCTGAAACAGAAAACTTTGTTGAGAGTAAAATTAGGCAAATAGTCCTTAAAATTTCCTACAAAACTTTATATTTCTCATTTTTCTAGCTCAAAATTGAAGCGAGTTATGAACCTTTAAAGTTGGTTCTCGCTTCTCTACCCTTCTCGGTTAACTTTAAAGGCGCATATCTCAAAAACTAGACTAGCTAGAAATAATTCAAAAATTGAAAAATGCGTATAATTTTACGCTGAGCAATTTTGCAATTGACAACTTTTTGATAGCTGATCTAGTGTTTGAGATATGTGCCTTTAAACATCCCATAAGGCAAGGGAGACGCAGAGAAGCGAGAGAGCTCTGATTGTCTGCAGGAAATTTGAAGAGCTTTAGAATGATATAATATGTATAGAAAATAATTCCAATTCGACATAAAAATTAAAAAAAACATCAATAGATTCTAAAGCATGTATCTGAGGAACCAGCTAAACTACGATTTTGAAATTCGGACAGTACAATGTCTTAGTTACGTACTCAATGCTCAGAAAATTTCAAGTTTCTAGTTACAATGCCAACAAAAAGACTAACCTGTCCATCATAGGGATATCCTGGATCCACACAAACTGGCCCTTCACACCGTAAATCTCCTAGATCCCAGGTGGCATCTGACGAACACTTTATGGTCCTATCGCTCCGCCCAGCTACAGTATACGGTTGTCGACAGGTGAACTCCAATGTAGATCCCATTTTACGATCGGTGACGTCACCGACATAAACGGCACCTGGCATTGTTGGAGGGGCGGGGCATTCAATGAAAGAGCACTCTGGTGGTGGACCAGATAGCCAGTAGTCCCTTCCATCGTCTTTCGGGTCAAAAATACATTGACGATAGGAGAAGAGGGCGGAGTTTGGACGGCCTGGTCGATTGGGCAAGGTGCAGGAGATGGACACGTTTTGGCCGAAGGTGATGGTTGAGTTGTTCGGGGTGACGTGGAGACCGTCGGATTTGGAGGGGAGTTGTTCGATGCCTTGGCAGGTGGCGGCTGGAAATGGATGGGAATTTAGCTTAAAATATACAAAAATTTTCAAAACAACATACGCAAACAAAACGGCTCAGTTCCATTCCATGTGCCATCTGCCAAACACTGTATGTAGTCTGGTCCCATCATTTGATAACCAAAATCACACTGAAATTGGACGATCATTGGGAACTCGAAATTTTTGGCTGTGGATAGCAATTGCCCGTTTTCCGGGGACCCAATATGTTCACACTGTCTTGGGACACATGATTTTTCAAATCTTATCAAATCGTTAACATTATTTCCAGTCTCTCCAGCCGAAACATTCACTCCTGACTGCCCATTCTCCATGAACAAATCGTATCCATTACGGCAGGCGCACTGAAAAATTGGGATATCTTTAGAATGGAAATAGGTAGAAGGAAAATTTTAATTACAAAAATGTAGAAGATGTTGAGAGCTCAATTTTTGTAGTTTTCAACATTTTGATAACTCTGCTGGCTTTTGAGATATGCGCTTTTAAAGTTGGCGCGCACCTTCTCCATTCGCGCAACCAACTTCAAAGGCGCATATCTCCAAAACTAATGTAGCTATCAAAAAGTTACAAACTACAAAAATGTGTAAAATTTTACGCTGAGCAATTTTGTAGTTGACAACTTTCTTGCAGCTCTTCTAGTTTAAAAGATATGCGCCTTCAAAGGGAGACGCAGAGAAGCGAGAGTGTTCTAGCCCCTCTAAAAAGGTGGAAGGTTTAAAGGCGCATAACTCGTTTCAGTTCTGAGCTAGAAAAATTAAAATTATTTAGTTTTGTAGGGAATTTCAAGACCTTTCTGGTGATATAAAATACTTTTAAAAATATTGTGTAATTCTTTTCAAAATTCTAATTTTCATATTTTTGATCCCGAAAACTTTAAGAAGCTTGGTATTATTGGACCGTGTTGGGCAGGTAGTTATCAGTTATTAACAGTTTGGATTTCTGAATACACAAAATTTGAAAAACCAAATTATTTTGCTAAATTCTGGATTCTAAATTCTAAAATTTTCCAAAATTCCAAAATTTTGAAAAGTTAAAAAAAAGTTTTTTTCGAATCCTTATTAATATTTGTTCGTAATTTTCAATAAACAATGTTACATCATTCAAAAGCCCTTAAAATTCTCTACAAAACTGTGTAACTTTCATATTGCTAGCATAAAATTGAAGCGAGTTATGCGCCTTTAATGTTGACACCGAGAGACGCAGAGAAGCTATAGCTCTCTCGTTTCTCTACGGCTCTATTTAAAGGCGCATATGTCAAGAACTGAGCTAGCTATCAAAAAGGTTAACGCTACAAAAATGTGTGAAATTTTATGCTGAGCAATTTTGTAGTTTACAACTTTTTTGTAGATACGGTAGTTCTTGAGATATGCGTCTTTGAAAATTTTGATTTTAAAAAATGTCAAATTTGGGAGCTAGTTTTTTAAAGGCGCTTATCTCGGTGTTTTTTGAAGCTAACTTGCACAAACTTCTCAGGGTACTGTAGGCACTATTCAAATTTACTATGATTAAATTTCATCTCAATTGCTACGCCGACAAGACCGCGACGCAGCCGCGACGCGGCTGCGGTGCTTCTCATGCTAGATTCCTCTGTATCTCAGCTCTCCTTTGGCCAATTCGAGCCAAGTTAGGCCCAAAATATCCCTCTTACCTTATAACTTCCTTGAGTATTGATACACAAATGATCACAATGTCCATTATTCTTCAAACACTCATTTATATCGGCACACGACGTCCTCTGACATCCCAGCGCTTCAACCTCTACACACGGTGTGCCTTCCATCCCAACGGCTTCAATTTCCAGCACTTGAACCTCCAAAGCCATCGGAAGTGTTGCCACGTCATCATCATCGACACCGAAAATCGATTGATTATCGATTTGCAGTTTTTTGGTGCGAGATTTGTTCGATTCGGAGTACTTGACACTGATCTTTTGGATTTTTCCGTTTCGCTGGTTGGTGAATCTGAAAAATTAGCAAATTTTATAAAGTTTACATTTTTTGGGGATACCTTATCTGCTCCACAATCATTGGAATCGCAAATTTGAGCACTTTGATCTTCTTATCAGTGGATTTAGGGTCCGGGCAGAAGTTGGAGGATCCTGTCTCGATTGGTTGGGATTCGAGGCACACTGAAGTGGTGAAAAGGTGATAAAACAGTTGAAAAAATAAGCTAAGCAATAACAAATTTTAACTAGATTGGGTTACCAAAATTTTGAGATCAAAATTTCGAAGAATTATAAAAAAATAAATTTTTCAAAAAATTGTTTTTTCGAAAAATTCTTATAAACTTTATATCATTCGAAAGCTCTTGAAATTTCTTGCAAAACTAGCTAATTTTCATTTTTCTAGCTCAACATTGAAGCGAGTTATTCGCTTTTAAAGTTGGCGGAGAGAGACGCAGAAACTCTCGCTTCTCTGCGTCTCCCTCCCCTCCTGTCGCCCAAAAAGGCGGCCATCTTTAAAAGCGCATATCTCAAAAACTAGGCTAGCTACAAAATAGTTGTCAACTGCAAAATTGCTCAGCATAAAATTTTACACTCACTTCATTTTTCAAAAATTTTCTAGCTTTTTTAGTTTTCGAGACATGCGCCTTTAAACTTTGGATATCATTCATCACTCACTTAATTGCGGCTGATACCCATCCAAGCACTGGCACATGTAGGATCCGGGCAAATTGACGCATTTTGTACCCAATGATTGGCACTGACTGACTCCAGATGAGCACTCATCAATATCAATACACGTGGGCGTTGAGGAGACAGTCTGATTGGCCAGGCAGCGGATCTGAAGACATTGTTTTTTGGAAATTTTGAAAATCTGAAAAACTACAGTACCTCTTCAGGTCCGTCAATTGTGAAGCCAGAGTTGCAGACGACACGAGCGACGTCACCAAATAGGAATCGATCGGGAACCTCGATTCTGGCATTCGGGACTTCTGGGAGATGTGTGCAAGCGACTTCTGGAAATTGGAGGGGTTATAACTCAGAAAGTACTGTAGCTAGAGACATAAAATTCTGTGAGCGTTTAGTACGTAACATAGGCATTATATTGCCAAATTTCCAAAATTGTAGCTTTGCTGTTCACTGAGATACAAACTTCTGAGTCAGCGGCTCGGCGAGCGCACCAGGAGTCTAAGTTCGACCGCGTAGCTCTGGGGTTCATAACTCAGCAACTTTTGCAGCTAGAAACTTGATACTATGTGAGCATTTGAAACATAAACTAGATCTTATACTGGCAAAGTTTCAAAGTCCTAGCTTTAATTGTTCTTGAGATATGAGCTTTCAGAAAACATTATCGAAAATTTTGAAAATTCTGATTTTAGGATTTTTCGAGTTAATGTTTTAGAAAACAACTGATTTTACTGTATTCAGTACATTTTGACCTTCAAAATGAGCCTAAACAGGACCAGACTCCGCCCACTTTCATTTTTCCCGTGGCGTCGCGGTCGTGCGTCGCGTGTCAAAAAGGAAGTCTCAAAGTGGGCGGAGCCTAGTCGTGTTTGGGCTCATTTTGAAGCTCTTGTCATGGCATAACAAATAGAATTCAGCTCGGTTACAGAAAACTATTTTCTAGGCCACCAGCGACGAAAAAAACTAGGCCAAAAACGGGAATAAAAAGAATCTTCAACTCACTCGTACAACTGGGCTGTTTCGACGACCAAGTGCCATCGGATTTACACAACAAACTCTCCACACCCTCTCGCCGGTATCCCGAATGACAATCGTATCGGAACACACTACCGTAACCCGTTCCATCACCAAACTCGAGTCTTCTCTCTCCATTTGTGAATTGGGTCAACGGTTGACACGTGGCAGCCTTGCATGGCGGCGGTGTGTTCCATTTTCCGAGCTCTCCACAGTATACCGTCTCGATATCTTTTCCGGAAGAGAAGAAGAAGCCTTTGTGACACGAATATTTGACCTGGCCGCCGAAGGAGACGTTGGTGGCGCTGTCAACATAGCCATTTGCGATTTGGGGCACGGCGCCGCAGTAAATGGCTAAAAATCGAGGGGTTTTAGAGAGCTAGAAAGCTGAAAGTTTGTCAAAACTGAGTTTAGAATATCTTCTAGATATTCTGAAAATTTCAGCCAAATTGAGTGATCTGGAGCTGAGATATGACATTTTGAAATTTTTGGAATCAAAATTCCCAAAAATTGGTTTTAGTGTTTTTTTTTTCCAATATCACAACTTCCAGATCACTTATCAACTTGAAATTTTCACATAATACAAACGTTATGTCCCAAAAAATATTTGGTCAATTTCAGCCTTTTTGGATTACTGTAACTTACGCTGGCAAGTCGAAATATGGCTCTGCGACCATTTTCCGCCCATCAAACACACGACAGTCTTCGAAATACCCTCTCCAGAAGCAAATTCAAAACCAATGGGACAAGATACAGTAACCCGAGTGCTCACGGACCGCTGTTTTGTAGATAGGGTCACCATTGGGACAGATGGAAATGCGGGGCAGTCTGGAAACAACAAATTAGGAATTGGGATTATTGAAAGTTTGAGAGATTTTGTTTGTTGGGCTGTAACTGGGCTGAAAATAATCCAAATTGCTCAAATTTGGTCTTAAAATGAAGCTAAGAAGATTTCCAACTAAGTTCATTTTAATTCAATGCATCGATCAAATAATTAGGTTACTGTAGAGCTTTTTGAAAAATTCAAAAAATCGAATTTTTAAATTTTTTGACAGTATTCCTTATTTTGACCATAACTCGGCTCAAAGTGATCCGAATCCCATGATTTTTGTACCAAAATATAGCTAGAAAAATTTCCGACGGGTTTATCATTAATTTAATGCATTATTCAAAAAGTTAAGTTACTGTAGCCCTCCTTGAAAAATTCGAAAAACTGAATTTTCAATTTTTAGGCACTATTTCCTATTTTGACCATAACTATGCTTAATATGCTCCAAATGCTATGATTTTTGTACCAAAATATAGTTAGAAAAATATTCTACAAATTGATTATAAAAGTAATGCATCATTACAATAATTAGGTTACTGTATAGCTCTTCGAAAAATTCAATAAATCGAAAATTTCATTTTTGGCACTGTTTAGTATTTTAGCCATAACTCGGCTCAAAATGCTCCGATATTTCTGAGTTTTAGACTTAATTGAAGCTAGACAAAAATTCTACAGGTTTACACAAAGTTTATAGCATTGATCCAAGCATTAGATTACTGTAAATCTTTTCGAAAAGTTAAATATGTCGAAATTTTTAATTTTTCGGAACTACTTCTTATTTTCACTATATTTTAGCTCAAAATTCTTCAATCTTTGTAGATTTTGGACCCAATTACATTTAGAAAAAAATAAACAAAATACATTTAAATTCAATGCATTATCGCAAAAATTAGATTACTGTAACCCCCTTTGAAGTCTCAACAAATCCGAATTTTTCATTTTTTGGCATTGTTTCTTATTTTAGCCATAACTCGGCTCAATATGCTTCAATCTTCTTAATTTAAAGTTCAAATTACTGCTAAAGACATTTTCTATCTACCTGACAATTAAACTAAAGCCCACTAACCAATAGAATAACTGAAATTGAATCCCATCGCTTGTCTGGAGGAACCCGATTTGAACACCATTTGAATGCGATTTGAATTCGAATCTATCTGTTTCTCCGGCTTAGTTTTCAGTCCAAATCCATCATTTTCATGAAGTGCCTTTCCTTTGCTCACAGAATTCTCAAACACTCTTACAGTATCCCCATCGGCCAAGTCAAACCGCTGAGCAATCAAACTAATCGATCTGTCCGCCTTCTGGTCCTCGGTTTCGATGGTATATGTGCATTGGACGTCGTTGGGGTATTCAGAAGACAGATATCCGGGAGAGATGATTTCTCCGAGGACGTCACTCATCGATAGGTCACATCCACGTTTGTAGGAAATTGAGAAACCGCGGGAATTTGAATTCTGACGAGTCATCATGTAGATGTAGATGTGGGAGGTGGAGGAGGTGACGTATTTCTTGGTGGTGAGGTTTCCAGAGAATCTGAAAGTTGATTTTTTTAGATTTGGAAGTCGTGAAAGTGTCGGAGCTCTGAAAAATTCCCAAAAATCCGAGCTCAACTGGTCAAAAACACAAAACAACTAGGGATTGAATTCAAAATTGGAAACTTCGCGGAAATTTGGCCCAGGATACTTTAGATTTCAAAATTTGAGTTTTCAATTTTATGTAGAGGGATGTAGAATTTTGAAAACCATCTAAAAATATTAAATTCAAAACAATCCGACTATTTGCAGCGAAGTTATAGACTTATTGGCTACCGTAGTCCGACATTTGAAATGTTTTGGGAAAATTGGTCTGGGATACTGTAGATTTGAAGGTGTGAGCTATAAATTTAATATAACTAAATGTAGAATTTTATCAGCTATCTGAAAATATAAAAATCACATGAATCCAATTATTTTCAGCCAAGTTAGAGCTAAAAAATCAACACCTAATTTTTCAAAAATTTTCCAAAAAAAATTTTTTTTCGAATTTCTAGAAAATACAAATTTTTCGATATTTTTTTGCAAAATTTGGTACCATTCTATTGGAAATTTAATTCTCTATTCAAAAATTATACTTACGATGCAAGTACGGTAGCCGAAGGCGTTGGTCCATTGTAGATTATCAGATTGTCCTCGGCGCCAAGAGAGAAGTCGTCCAACTGAAAAATATTCATATATCAAAAGTTAATTAGGGTTTAATTAGAGTAATTAAAATGTATGATTATCGAATCTGTATTTTTCTAGTGTAGAATTTTATGGGCTTTTCAAAAATATAGTTTTCATAAAAATTCAACAATTTTCAGTCAAGTTACAGCTAAAAAAAGATTATTTAAATTTTTTTCGTTTTTTGTAAGTTAGCTGAATTTTAAGATAATAAAATTAATTTTTATATTTTCCAATGTAAAATTTTATCTACTTTCCAAAAATTGAATTTACAGCTTTATTGCCCCATTTTCAGCAAAGTTATAGCCAAAACACCAAAAGCTATTTAAAATTTTAGAATTCGAAATTTAACACCAGATTATTTATCAATTTGTTTTTAATTTCTAAAGTAATTTGTATTAAAATTGTTGCAAATTTTTTCAGTTTTCCAATTCTGAAAAAATTATCAAAATCCAACGATTTTCAGCCAAATTACAGCCCTTAGAGTATCTCAGACAAAATTTCCCATCATAAAAATTTTTTTCCTAATCGAATCAAAGATCTTCAAAAGCACTTCCGAATGCTCCATTTTCAGTTTATTCTAAAAATTTAAGCCAAGAAAAAAATATGAATTTCCCAATTTTTTCAATTTTTCTAATTATTTGTTTGGGACGACTTTCCAAATCGGACCCACTGATAATTGATGTCGAGGTGAAGTGCGCCTTTAATCAGCTCTACTGGTGTGGAAAAATGCACATTTTTGAGCACGATAATTAGTGAGTTAATTGGGCATAATTGGAAAATAACTTCGAAAAAATGTTGAAAACGCTGTAACTTTTTATATTTTGCTGCTAACTTAATGAAAACAAATGCAATATATTTGCCTTGTCCTGAGCTTCAAAATGAGCCCAAACACGACTAGGCTCCTCCCACTTTGATTTTTCCGGCGCGTCGCGGTCTCTCATCAAGGCGAATTCGAATGTTCTATTAATTTCTAAACTTAAAAACTCACAATCAGCGAAATCACTTGTCCAGGGGTGGTTTCCACGGTCCAGACACACTCCGCGCCGTTGGCGAACGTTTTTGGGTATCCGGGAGAGACAAAAGGTTGAATATAAGCCTGAGCAATGTAGTGGCCACCACAGGAGAATGGAATAGCTCTCCATTTCAGTTGGAATCCTCTGGCATTCGATTGAGCATCGCTTCGGAACTGGACTATCATCATGTTCGTTGAGGAGGTGATGGTTTGAGCAGTTTCAAAAGAGCCGGAGAGCCGTTTTATTACTGTAACAGTTACAAATTATTATCAATAGCCTTGAAATTTTCTAAGCTTTCTAGTGTTACTAAATTCAAACTTTTAACTTGAAAATGAAGCTAGCTATAGTCGTTTCTTCAGAGTGACTCTCTAATTGAGCATGTTAGATGTTTTCCCCGATTTACACAAATTTTTCAGATATCGCTATTCTACAAATTCAGATAATTATGTGTAAAATTTTACGCTTTTTCCAATGGTGCTATTTTTATAAAAATCGAACAAGTTTGAAGCAAGTTATGAGCCTGGAAAGAGACGCAGGTTCGCTAGAGTGCTCTCGTTTCTCTGCGTTTCTTTAAAGGCGCATAACTCGCTTCAAATTGAAGCTAGAAAAATGAAAATTAGATAGTTTTGTAGGAAATTTCAAAAGGACATTCCTAGAACATCAAGAAAGCCTTTTATTTGTGTGCGTCTAGCACTCTCTAGGAGATCTCTGGGAGTTTAAATGCGCATAACTTGTGTCAAAATGAAGTTAGAATGGAAATTTCAAGAATTTTCTAACAAAAACTCTTACCTGTTGTACTATTCTCCGCTGGTCCACCATCTAGCACTGTCAAAACATCAAAAACGGGTTCTGTCTCAAAATGCTCTATCGTCAACTCGATTCTCGAGTTCACGGGTCCTTCCAAAACATAACGGCAGTTTAAATTCGGGTCATAGCTATTTGGATAGTTCGGTGAGCTTAATTGTCCACTTTCTCCTTTTTCATAGGTCCGGCAAGCCGGTTGGAATGCTGATGGACAGTTTTGTTCATCGGATCCATCGTCACAATCATTGAATCCATTACACTTCTTGGATTCCGAGATACAGGATCCAGATGAGCAGAAATAGGATCCTTGAACGCATGCTGGACGTTCACAAACGAATCTGCGGAGGAGATTACAGGTTTCTAGTCTCCATTCGAGGTCTTTTCGTTCCACACGACCCATTGCACATGTCCCGTTTAGGAAGTTTGGCTGATCCTGTCTCCAGAAGCCCACGTAGCGAGATGTAGGCGTTCCGTCTGACCAAATGTAGAGCTCATCGTCGTCGAGGACCTGGAAAACACAGATTACGGTTAATTTGTTTGATTTGGGCGTTTTCTAAGCTTCAAAATAAGCTCAAATACGAGTATGGGGAAATTTTTAAAAGTCTTGTAACTTCATCAATTTTGATTCAAACTTCTCAGCATGAATCCCATTCAATTTGTTAAAAATAGAGCTTTAAAATGAGCCCAAACACAACTAGGCTCCGCCCACTTTGAGATTTCCCATAGACACGCGACGCACGACCGCGACGCATGTCTGAAAAATGAAAGTGGGCGGAACCTAGTCGTGTTTGGGCTTATTTTGTAGCGTTTTTTAAGCAAAATTTAATGAAATCAAAGATTTGGAGATTCGAAACAAATTGAAAGAGAAAATTGTATTTAGGGTTTTTTTTTCGATTTTTGAGATTTCAATTTCTCGAAAAATCGGTTTTTTTTTCGATTTTCGTAGGATTATTTTGGGGTTTCTTGCTTTTTTTTTGTATTCCGCTTGTTACAAGTTTCAAATTGAGCCTAAACACGAATAGGCTCCGCCCACTTTGAGTTATCCCGTCGTGGTCGTGCGCCGACACGCGACGCACGACCGCGACGCACGCCTGAAAGATGAAAGTGGGCAGAGCCTAGTCATGTTTAGGCTCATTTTGAAGCACATAACGAGACAAATCGAACACAATTAGTTTAAAAATAATATCTTCAAAACTACAAAAGTTATGGTTGTTTTAAAGTAATTTTTCGTTTTTTGGATCCAAAAATTATTTTCAAAACTTTCTTTCCTAAATTTGTTGTTGTTTGTATGTAAAATTTTACGCTCTTTCCGATGGTGTAATTTTCATATAATTCGGAGGACGTTGAGGCAAGCTATGCGCCTTTAAAATTTTAGAGAGACGCAGAGAAGCGAGAGTGCTCTAGCTTCTCTGCGTCTTTTTCACTTTAAAAGGCGCATAACTCACTTCAAATTGAAGCTAGGTAGATGAAAAATGTATAGTTTTGTAGGAAATTTCAAGAGCTTTCTGATGATATGCAGTTCTTGTAATAATTTTACAATTTTGCATAGTTTTAGAGCATCGAATAGCCCAATGTTGTTTTCTTCAGCCTTCTTTTTTCTTGAAATTTAAAGACGCATAACTTGCTTCAAACTCAACCAACTTCATTATCTTTTTAATAGTTTTGTAGGAAATTTTACGGGCTTTCTGATGATATAAAACACAATGTTCGCTTCAAAAATTCCAAATCCCTCTCACCTCAACAGTCAACCCAATCCAGTACTCTTTAATCTCGCCCATTTTTCCTCCCGGCTTCGACAGTAGATTCGCGATGAACTGGTTCTCGGAACCAGTCTGAATTTTGGCCAGTGTCGATCCGTATCTTTGACATGTCGTCAGCGCAAACGGCCATGATTGGTGTATGTTGAACGGGAGATAACATTTCGTGCCGAGACGAATCCATTCGTCTGGACACTTGAGTTCCACGTCCGTCACTTGTGATGGTGGGGTGAATTTTGAGGAGGATGAAGAGGATTGGGTGGGCTGAAACTTTTAAGATCGATTTTTTCCAAATTGAATATTTCAAAAATATTGATTCTGAAGGACGTTAAAAGCCTAACTAGATCAACGGGTATCTAGACTAAGCTTAGAGCTTGCTGTTAGAGGTAGATCAAAAACTATGAATAGACAAATTGTATATAGTTTTAAAGCGTTTTTTATGATCTACATTTGACAAGTTGAATTTTTCAAAAATATTAATTTTGAAGAAAGTTACAAGGTTTACAAGACATGAGCCTAACTAGAGGGAAGGGTCTCAAAAGGATGTCTAAGCAAAGTTTAGTCCCTGTTTTAAGGTTAGTCCAAAAATAAAAGTTGGATGAATTTATATATCGTTTTGTAGAAAATTTTATGATCTACATTTTCCAATTTGAATTATTCGAAAATATTGATTTTGAACAAAGTTATAAGCTTTGCAAGAAGAGAACCATGAACGTGGTTAGCGCAAGCTTGGTAGTAGGGGCTTTGTTCAGCGCCTGTTTCTCGGTAGATCAAAACTTTTTATCAAAGAAATTTTTGTATCAATTTAAAGTTCTATTTATGATCTGCATTTTCCAATTTGAATTTTTCAAAAATATTGATTTTGAAGGGAGTTAAAAGAGAGACTAAATATGGTCCCTTTTGAAAATTTTCGGAAGTTTTAGTAGTCAGCAAGTAACGAGATCGACAAAGATTTATGATTATTTCCAGGACCAAAATTTCAAAAACTTCGAAATGATACATCATTTTAAAGCGCTTTCTAAGACCTTTAATTAACTTTTTAGAAAGTTCAAAAATATTGATTTTGAAGGAAGTTTGTAAGATAAGATTTGTAAGAAATGAGCTAAAAATTGCCAGCCTCCTGTTTGGGGTCAAATCTAAACAAATTTTATATTATTTCGAAGCTCTTTTCATGATCTGAATTGTCCGATTTGAGTTTTTTGAAAAAATTTTGATTTTTAACAACGTTATAAGCAATTCAAGATTCCAATGGTGTTTTGGTCGGGTAGCTCATAATCAGTTTGCTCTTTTTTTCTCTTGTAACTTTCTCCAAAGACAATATTTTTCAACAATTCGAACTGGAAAATATAGGGTTTTCAATTTTCTACAAAACGATATAAACTTTGCCTAATTTACAGTTTTTGATCTACCCAGAATCTGGCGCTAAACTTTGTTCCCTCTTGAGACCCCTTGCTCTAACTGGGATCATTTGTTGCAAAGCTTGAAACTTCCTTGAAAATCAAGATTTTCCAAAATTTCAAATATGAAAATGTAGATCTTAAAATTTTCTATCAAATGATATAAAATTAAAATTATTACCATTTTAAAAACTCGTTCAAAATCTACATTTTCCATTTCGAGTCATTCAAAAATGTGGGATTTGAAGAAAGTTATACAATTTTGTCTGTAACTTCCTTCTGAGTTTGTATTTTTCAAAAATTTCAAAATGGAAAATGTAGATCACAACATTTTCTTTTAGAACATAGAAATTTGAAATTCTTCTCACCTCAATAAGCAACAATAAAACTACAAAGACGACTTCTGTCAGAAGTCGTCGTTTCCGACAATTTTCGTGCATTTTCTGTGTAGTTTGTAGTCGGAATAATTACAGCAAACCACCCTTTGCTGAAAATTAAAGATAATAAAAAAGGAGAAAAAGAGAAAAAAGTATAAAAACCACAAAAAAACGGCGAACGGAAGGAACAGAAATTATCGGGGTCGAAAATCTTAGATTTCTTGATTTTTATCCAAAATCTTGATTGTTTTTTAATTATATTTGGTTTAGAATGAAATGGAAAAAAAGTAAAAATTCAGAAATTTAGAAATTCAGAAATTCAGAAATTCAGAAATTCAGAAATTCAGAAATTCAGAAATTCAGAAATTTAGAAATTCAGAAATTCAGAAATTCAGAAATTTAGAAATTCAGAAATTCAGAAATTCAGAAATTCAGAAATTCAGAAATTCAGAAATTTAGAAATTCAGAAATTCAGAAATTCAGAAATTTAGAAATTCAGAAATTCAGAAATTCAGAAATTCAGAAATTCAGAAATTCAGAAATTCAGAAATTCAGAAATTCAGAAATTCAGAAATTCAAAAATTCAAAAATTCAGAAATTCAGAAATTCAGAAATTCAGAAATTTGTTTTTTTCAAAAATTTTCTGCCTATCAAAATGTTCCAAATTTCATAAAAACTCCAAATTTGGTACTTATTTCCCTTTAAATTCAGACTTAATTACCCTAATTAGCTCTTCCAGATCCTACTACTTTCCAACGCTTTTTAAGCCTTTTAGCTTCAAAATCCCTCAAATTAAATCGATTTTTTCAACTTTTCAAAAATTTTAATTACCCCTAATTGAGCCCCTAATTAACATAGATAATATAAATTATATAATTGTTCTAAAATTGCGGAAGTTAAAAGAAAAGGAGGAAAATATAGCGGAAGAAGAAGGTCAGCTTTGTTTGTCTTATCACTCTTTTCGACAGGGGAGCTCTCCGAGAGCAGGGAGAGGGAGAGAGACGCAGAGAAAAGGGTACTTGGATAATAATTTGGATATATCAATAGGGTGATTGGGGTGAAGTGGTTTGAAAGATTTCGAAAAATATTGGAAATTTCAAATTTTTGGCAACAACTTTTGAAAAATTAGAAAATTTAGAACCTCAACTTTGAGCTCAATCATCTTGTTTCCCTTTGAAATTATCGGCAATCTGTCAACTGATAAACTATTTATCAAATTATCATCAATATTTTATCAGTTGAACACTTTTTGATATCTGTTACAGTAACCAAGATATGAGAGCTCAAAGTTAGGGATCCTCAAAAATCGAAAAGGGCGTCCTCCCCCTTTCCTAGAAAGGAGCGGAAGATGCTTTCCTAACTTTAAGCCGATTTATCTCAGTTCCTATAGAAGGTATCAAAAAGTTGATAACTGGTAAATTGTTTATCATATTATCAGCTACATTTTATCAGTTGACAAAATTTTAATATCAGTTACAGTAACCGAGATATATAGGCTTAAAGTTGCCGGCTTGGAAATACTTGCAGCAGATGAAGTACAATCCAAAAAAGGAGGTGAGCTACAGTAGTCCCAAAAGCTACAGTAATCCCAAAAAAAAGGTTCAAAAAACCAAAATAATGGCAACATCGGCTCCATAATAATTTGCCGAAACAAATTTCTATACAATTTCAAATGAGTCAAAAAAAGAGCCGCCACCCTCCGAATTCATGTTTTCCTCCGAAAACTCTTGAAATCTCAGAGAAAGAGCTACACAGTGGGAACGGTCACTATGTCTCTCTTATGGTTCATTTATATGTATTAGGTAAATAGACGAGAGAGAGAGAGAGAGAGAGTATAGAGATCGCGAGAGACGCAGACAAGCAGACGGAGGTTTGTGATTGACCTCTTTAAAAGGGGGACATGCTCATACACAAATAAGGCTATGAAGAAGAAGCAAGTGAGCATAGAGAGCGGAAAAAAACGGGGACAAAGGTAATAGAGGTGACTTAGAAAACAGCTAGATGGCCTAGAATTCCAAATACTGTATTTTCTCTAATTTGAGCAAATCCAAATCGTCAATTTTGAATCCAAATATCTGAATTTCGGTAATAGATATCAAAAAGTTGTCAACTGATAAATTATTTGTCATATTATCAGCATTATTTTATCAGTTGACAACTTTTTTGTATCTTTTACAGGAATCAAGATAATTAAGTTCAAAGTTGACGGTTTCGCTGGGCTTCTATTAGAGGATACACGGTTTGAAGCGAGTAACTAGATCGACAAAGATTTGACATTTTTGAGAATTGTAGATTTTCAAATTGTTTGAAGTTTTACATCATTTTAAAGCTCTTTTTGTGATCTACATTTTTCAATTTGATATTCTGAAAAATATAAACTTTGAAAAAAGTTACAAGCTGTTCAAAATACCCGTATTTTCTCTACTAGAGAAGCACACCACCCTCCCTAACTTTAAGCTCAATTATCTCAATTTCTGTAAAAGATATTAAAATTTTGCCAACTGATAAAATGTTACTGATAATTTGATAAACATTTTACCAAGTGACAGTTTTCTGATATCTTTTACAGGAATCGAGATAATTGAGCTTAAAGTTGAAAAGCTTATGCCGTTAGAAAGCGCTCTTGCTATCAACTTTGAGCTCAATTATCTCGGTTACTGTAAGAGATATCAAAAGTTTGTCAACTGATAAAATATTAGTGATAGTATGATGAACATTTTATTAGTGAAGAACTTTCTGATATCTTTTACAGGAATCGAGATATATGAGTTCAAAGATTTGGTGGACTTCTATTATAGGGTACTAGAGGAACAAAGCTAAATGGTAGTGGCTTAGGAATCCCCTAAATGGTAGTGGCCTAGAAACCCAAAACCTTGAAATTCTTGATTTTGAGCCAAAGTTTGAAGAATATAACTATTTTTGATAGAAACATTCAAATATGAAAAATCTTGAAATTTTGAAATTTTAAGCTCAAAGTAGTCAAAGATTTTGGATTTTTTTTTCTAGAATCAAAATTTAAAAATGCGATGTATTTTATATAATATTGAAGCACTTTTCAAGATCTACATTTTACAATATCAATTTTTGAAAAATATAAATTTTGGAGGGAGTTACAAGCTATACAAAATAGTGGTCAAAAAAGGGGGGCGTGGGAGTATCTAAGCTAAGTTTAGCGCTTGTTTTTGGGGTAGATCAGAAAACAAACCAAAACCAAGTTTTATATCATTTTAAAGCTTTTTTTTTGTTCTACATTATTCAATTTGAATTTTTAAAAAAATATTGATTTCGAAAAAAGTTACAAGCTTTCCAAGAAATAAGCCACATATGCCAGGATTAGTGATAGCTTCCTGGTAGGGGTCAAAATTGGACAATTTTCAAAGCAGTCTGAACAAATTATATATCATTTTAAAGCTCTTTTCAAGATATACATTTTGCAATTTAATTTTTTTTTAAATATCGGTTTTGAAAAAAGTTACAAGAGACTTAAGCTAAGCGGTGAGTACACCACACCTATAGTACTATATAATAACCTTTTCCGATGGGGTGGAAAATCTGTCTGCGCCTCTCACTCTCTTTTGCCAATCCGTCTTAATTGTACAATCAGATATTATATAAAAGATTGTGGTAAAATGTACATATTCTGTTCTATTCTCTCTCTGTTCCGCCGGGGAAAGAGAGAGAGAGAGAGAGAGAGAGAGAGAGAGATAGAGAGAGAGAGAGAAGTGATTTGATAAGTTTTGCGGATCGCGGAAAGACAAGAGTTAAGTCAATAAGTATGGTATGGTGTGGTCACTTAAACAGTTTGCTCAGATTTTGATGGAATTCTGAGAGAGTGAGAGACGCAGAGAAAGAATGACCCCGAAACAATAGGGATTAGTAGGTACACGAACATATTTACGAGCATTTTTTGCCCCTAAAATGATCTCTGACTTTTCATTGTTTCCGGAGCGTTCAAGAAATCTGAAGAATTTGAAAAAATTCGAGTCTAGTTTGGTGATAAGATAGAAAGCTCGAAAAATCCAATTTGAATGAAAATTACTGTAATTTGAGCCCATATATCTCGGTTACCGTAAGAGCTATCAAAAAGCGATTAACTGATAAAATGTTTTTGATAAAATGATAATTATTTTATCAGTTGACAACTTTCTGATATCTCTCACAGTAACCGAGATATATCTGCTCAAAGTTAGGGTGGCACCTCTCTGCGCCTCTTTCGCGCCTTGACAACTTTAAAGGCGCATAACTCGCTTCAAATGTAACCTAGAGGAATATAAACCACACAGTTTTGTAGAAAATTTTTAGGGCTTTTTATTGATTTATAATGTTCTACACTTAAATTTTGGCTAATCTGCAAAAATTACATGTTCCCATTACCACCTAGTGAAGCAAAACATGCGGAGGGCTTTCAGACTTTCAGGTGACTGTTTTTTTTAAAGTAGCGTTTTTCATACCTGACAAGTACTACAAAATGATACTATTTGGAATACTGTATCTTGTCTATGAGCAAAGTTACAAAGCAAATAGTCAGACAGGCACCTAGAAAGCCCCCCCCCCTTAACTTTGAGCCCCCATATCTCGGTTATTGTGAAATATATCAAAAAGTCGTCCATTGATGAAGTGTTGCTGATAATATGCTAAACAATTTATTAGTTAGCAAATTTCTGATATCTGTTACAGTAACTGAGATAATTGAGCTCAAAGTTAATGATTTTGAGGGGATTTTTTTTCGATTTACCAGGGACCCCTAACTTTGAGCCCTTATATCTCGGCTACTGTAACATATATCAAAAAGTAGTAAATTAATAAAATGTTTATCACATTATCAGCAACATTTTATCAGTTGACAACTTTTTGATATCTATTACAGTAACCGAGATAAATTA